CACACACACACACACACACACACACAGTGATTTCCAACGGTTTATTAAGTTCCGAGCCAGATCGTTGCGTGTGTAACGACCTTAACGAAAACTTTCCACCTGCTGCCATTTTTTTTTTTACGGTTTTACTCTCGGTATAGAGAGAAGAGGTGTGAATGCTGCACGATAAATGTTCATATGGTGGGAGGAAGGGAGAAAAAATAAAACAAACTGCTGGTGAGTTAGGAATAAGAGGGAAAGATTGATGTTTTCGTGTTTCTTTCATTTCATTTGATTTTTATTGGTTCGTTTGTTGCTATTTATTTATTTTTCTTTGGTGTGGGGGTCTGTTTTGGAGAGAAAAAAAACACAGGAAGTTTAAACTTAGTAGTAGTAGTAGCACAGATAGCATCAGGATAGGTTCTTAAGTAGTGAGAAGACAAAACACCTAGGTATTAATTACTTTGACTATAAATCGTCAAAGAACAGAAAAGTGGGAAGACATGGAAAAACCTCAAGATGCTAGCTCGGGACAGGGAAAAATGGTCTATACCCATATACAGGGTGAGAACGGCTTAGGCAATGATGATAAACTTTCAATGGGATATCAAACCAATGACCTTAGCAAATAGGTCAAATTTTGCACTTTTTGAATCTAAAGCCCCACAATATTCTCATCTCAGCGTTTCTTCTATTAAAGGTTAACTACTGTAATTCTCTTCTTGTCAGTTTAAGTTTGAAAATGATTAACCGAAGGCAGTGGTTCCAAAATAGAGCTGCTCGATTAATCTTAAGAAACCCCCCCAAAAAAGAACACATCACACCTTTATTAAGTTACATTGGCTACTAGTTAAAGCTAGAACCGATTACAAGATTTCTACTTTATGTCACAAGTGCATGAAGAACAAAGCACCACATTAACTTAAAAATGAGAATCTCATGAGAGTGCCCACAATACGAGTAACGTCTTTAAAAAATTGGGAGGAAGAGCCTTTTCTTCCTACGCCCCAATTATTATTATTTTTAATTCCCTACCAAAAGAAATGCGTATTATTACATCAGAGAGAGCCTAAAGACACATTTGTTCAACACTATCCTCTATGTGTGTTTGTATGAGAGAGAGAGAGAGGGAGACAGAGAGAG